AATTGGTGCTACTTGGGCAAGTGTTGTACATCATCTTAGCTGAATTAAATTCACATGTATTTTCAACTTGTGAATATTCATTGTGTGTTTAAGGCCGGATTCTACACTGGAAGTAAAAAGAACGGTATAATAGTTCGTGGTATAACTTATCCCCGAGATATCCGGAGTATATCGCTGCGTGAGTTTTACAATCACTTGTTCGTCTGGATATAACTATACGCGGTATTAGTACTGTTGCCTACAAATAGTTATTAATTGGTTACATTAATAGTGTGTAGTCTGTGGTTACATTTCAAGATAAGACTAGACAAGTTAGCGATCAGCGAGCGTGATGGATCAGTAAGTTTGTAGAAAATTATGTAGCACGAGTATTTTTAACATCATAACATATAATTCAGGTTTGTTACACGTAAAGTTATTCCTTCCACATCATCTGATGCGGATTCGCAAGCAGAGTTAATTGGACAAAATAATACAAATAGCGATTCAGATTCATCGCTGCATGCATATACAGGCAATACGCCTATTATTAAAAAAAGAAAACTGTACGTTCCAAAGTATAGAGACGCATGGGAAAAAATTTACCTGGTTAATGTATAATAGTAAAACGAAAGCGGCATATTGCATTGCGTGCAATAAAGATGTTACCGCAAATGTTTTCCACCTTAAACGTCACGAGTCAACAGCGCAACACTCGCAACATATCAAAAAAGCAAAAAACACGCCAAATCTAGAAAAATTTGGTGTACGCCCAAAAGAAACAAACCTGGAGCGCCAGATTCGGATTTCAGAATACAAAGTTGTTATGTTTCTTCAGGAGCATAATTTACCTTTCAATATAATGGAACATGTGCCACAATTTTCTATAGTGAGCAGTCTATAGCTCCCGACTCGCAAATTATAAAAGGAATTAAATGTTCTCGCACAAAAGTCACGCAAATGACAAAGGCAATAGCGGAAGAATCAATTGATAATTTAAAACATAAACTCAACAATAATAAATTGTATTCCCTTATAATAGACGAGACAACAGACATTTCAACGAATAAATCGCTAGTGGTTTTGCTTCGATATTACGACAATACCGTTAATGAAGTTAAGGATAGTTTTTTTGGTCTAATACATTTGCATAGCTGCGACGCAATCTTTTACAAACCCGGAATATACCAATTGAAAATATGGTCGGATTCGGGGCAGATAATGCAGCGGTGATGATGGGAAACAAGGCTGGTGTAAAGGCAAAGTTGATGGAAGTCAACCCATCAATTTTTGTAATGGGATGTACATGCCATTCCCTACATTTATGTGCATCAGCTCCTGCTAGAAAGCTTCCCAAAAGCGTGGAAGAGTTTTGCAGCTCTTGCTTGGAAGCGCCCAGTAATATTAATGTATATGTAGGTACTTTTGTATGATTAATTATTCATTTTATTTATATATAAAAAAATTGTCAATATCTGCCAGATTGCAGAGGAAACGGAAAATCACCAATGGCCAAGATGAATTGGTCCTGAAAAAATCTAAATTAATCGATTTTCAAATGGAGTGTATGAGAATTGAAGAAGAAAGAAAAATTGGAAAACATAAGCTAGAAATGGAGGTGCTAGAATCAACAAAAATATATCATAAAAATTGTAAAAAAATAAAAAATAAGTGAATTAAACTGTAAAGTATTTTTTATTTTTTCTGTTAAATTTTTTTACGCACTTACTTTTTAAAGTAACTGGGTAACTTTTGACATTCAACAATAAATTTTTGAAATATCTAATGACACAGCCCAACAGCTCTCACTTAACATGCCAATAAACTAAACCAGACTGGCAATCACTTCATCACAATCATTGACACAAGCATAAAATATTTACACCAAATTAGAAAAATGATTGTTAATCAACGTCATGCGCATTCTATTGTTTTCTTGGTAACTAAAATCAGTGTTAGACTGGGGAAAATTTTCTTAGAGTGCGTTGTTATCGTCAACTTCAGAAGGGGGGGCGTCACCATCTCTTTCTTCTATTGCCAGATTGTGGAGCACTGTGGTTGCTACAATAACTGCTTGGGAGCGTTCCTGTGAAAGGCGCATACCCAAGGATAGTACAGGAAATCTTCGTTTCCATACACCAAATGCCCTCTCTATACAATTGCGAGAGCGGATATGGGATTCATTATACAAACTCTCAGCTGCCGTAGAAGCTTGCCTTAAAGGAGTCAGTAGTTGGTTGATCAGTCAAAGTTGGTGTTTCCATATCCACCGTCCCTTAGGAGAATTGAATTTTCCTAATGCCCACTTTGGAGTCTTGCCTTAAGCCTACTATTGTTAAAAATAGTCTGATCGTGTGACGATCCAGGCCATCTTGCTACTATGTCTGTAAAGCGAAGACGTGCATCGCAAACTGCTTGTACATTCCTCGAAAAATAGCCCTTACGATTTCGATATCGTTCAGCCTCATTTCCACCGGGTGATTGGATGCGAACATGCGTGCAGTCAATTGCACCGACTACATAAGAAAACCTTGCAATTCCATAAAATGTTTCCTGTGTTGACAAGATCGCTGCATGAGTTTCAGGAAATCGTACATATATTGGCCGTAATCTGGCTATGGCGTCTGTTACTTGAGTAACAATATTGCAAGATGAGGTTTTGCTCACTCCTGTGAAATCGCCAGCTGTTATTAGCATGCTTCCTGTGGCATAAAAGCGTAAGGCCAGAAACACTTTTGTAGCTGGGGATATCGCTTTGTTACGCAAAGTTGGTGCTTTTATTCTTTTTTAATTTGACTTCTCAACAAATGAACAGTATCTTTTTGCAACCAGAAGCGTTTGAAAAACTCAATGACTGAATCAAATGTAAAATATAGCTACCGACTTCTAAATACTTTAGGTTGCCAACGTAATAATAAATCATCCATGTGGTCATCGAAATCGAATACATTCAAATCCGTGAAATCAATTTTCTTCAATGTTAATAGGTCTTATAAGTAATAATAGAAAATACGTCTATGCAGCAAACCCACTTTGCATACAAAAATAAACATTAGCACTAGGTTATGTTAACCGTCAAATTGACCAATAGAATGCAAGCATTCCGTTGTTCGAAGTATATCTCCCCAAGTCAAGCGGTACAAGTTATACCGCAGATATACCGGGCACAAAGTTATTCCGTCATTGTAGAACGCAAATCGCAAAGTATATCCCGAGTAAAGCTTGTTCCGAGTATATACTTGTATTGTAGACTCCGGCCTAAGTGTGGTGTGCGCTTTTTGAGCATTAATGGGCAGAAAATAGAGAATGGGGCGCCAGCTTGCAGAAAGCTGATAAGAAGGATTATTAACCTATAAACTCTTAGCTTGTGACTGAGTAGCTGACCCAACTGACGTTTTATTGAGCTCTATTTCGTTTTTTTATTAAAATATAATAACTGGGTTTTGGACTAAGTTTCTTTTATGCTACAGAATATGTTTTCTTTCTTTCCAGGTGGCACGATGCAGCTTTCGGTAAGTTTAGCATTACTTTGCCCCTGGTTGCCATGTTCATGTAGAAATTTGATTTTTTGTTTCTCCATATATACAAAAATATATTGTAAGAAAAAGCACCCATACACCACTTTGAATTACTTTAATTCCAAACACATATGAGCGATCTCATAAAATCTGTCGACCAGCTCGTCATCTACCAGACTAACCCCGCCTAAAAGGTTTCCTACTCGGTATTTCCACACTTATCGCTATTATAGAGCACAAATCAATTATCGACAATATATTAAACTGGGTTAACTGGTGTAAAAGTTAGAATCCTTTAAACCAAGAAACAAATAAATAAAACATAAGTCATTACTCAAAAAGTTACGCAATTTTTTAGCTTCGCACAACAACCTGAATCTTGCAAACGAGACAAACCTAATTTTGGGTTAATCTGTATCTCTGTGCTTTTTGTTTTTCGTTCTGTACATCAGCAACCAAATTTCCGGAACAATGCCAAATGTATCTCAGTTCGCCGTTTCTCGTAATGAGATTTCGCTTTGACTAATGTAAACACGCAAGGTCTGAAAGCGAAGGTTTTATAAATAATTCGCCTCGTCATGAAGAAGGCTGGTCAAAATCGACGATGAAAACACACACCATGAGGAAGCAAATTATATAACGGTTTGGGTATCTGGTTAGAATCTACATCAGCCACTTTCATCCGTATTTAAACAACTTTCTCTCCGGCTCGAGATCGGTTACGACATGGTATTATACAACGTTCAGCTTTTTCCCTTTTCCCATAGAATAACAAACTGTAAAAACGAATTTGGAAATGGGCATTCTTCAACTTTGTTGGCCCGGGTCAAGGAAACGAGCCTCACTATAATTTAAACGTACTGCCATACTACAAAAGCCATACTGATGTAATCCGGATATAGCAGAATAGTCTAACGTCTACCTGTGTACTTTGATAATTGAATAATACCGGAACTCATAAATATTCACCACCAATCGGTAATTTGCGAGAAAACGAAAATGACCAGATATTCAACAAGGTAATCAACTAATGGAGATGAACGTGTGGCAGTGAACTTTATAAAAACTCTTTCGGCCCGGAAGAAACACGAATGCAAGAAAATTAAGCGCCCGTTACCGACGTTTTAGCGCCGAAGAAATGGATCGTTGCAAGCGATGAAAGTCCGGTTATCTAATTGACGCAACACGTGAACTAAGCAGGTATTATATGCAAATAATAGTGAAAGTGAAGCAGGTTTTTGACGAGAAGCGACTTTTGATTAAATTATTTAACCGCTCGCTTAAAGGCAACTTCCGAATTTTCGATTCTAAAAATAGTAATCACTGCAGCTAATTCATCGCAAAAGCCATAATTGAGAGAGAATCGCCGATCGGCAGATAACGTCTTACACTTATGTTGCAACATATTACATGGGCGAAAGTACAAACACATGAATTTTTTTGCTTAAGCAAGCATACCATGTCTAATAGTATGAGACCAATTTCACCAAGCATGCGACTTACATGCCGAATTGCTGCGCCTTCCCACTGGAATGTCCCCAGTGGATTTACAGGAATGCCAGTACAAAGTTCTCATATCCAAGTACCACACGGTATTGCAATACGTTTCCAGAGGTTGATTCATCGGAGAGAGTGTGGCCCCTCGGCCTCCAAACAGGTAAATCTTGTCTCCGATACATACGGTGGTATGGAAGTCTCGCGATGTGGGTTCAGAACCTGAACGGCATCCAGTTCAATAAAACGTCCGCTCAATTATAAGCTGCACCAACCAACCTCCACAAATTGCGTAATTCCACTCAAACGTCTCCAGATCCAGGTAGTAAACCTGCTTGCCAAACAAATCAGTTTCGTCCTCGTAGCCGCCAAAAATGTACATGTAGTGCTTCCAGACGCAGGCCGAATGACCATCGCGTGCAAGCGGAATGGAGCCGGTGGTTGGGGGCGCCGTCCAACAGTGCCAGAAGGTGTCGAACCGAAAAAGAACCGAGCAGGGCGATCTGTCATTCCGTCCACCCCAGATATAAATGTATTCTTTGTAGACAACAGCAGTGTGACCATATCTGGAAAGTGCAGCAAAGTGAAGTAAATATAAGCAACTAGTGAGGAGTTTTTTACCTTTTGTAGGGCAGAATGTCGTCATTTTCAAAGTAAGGCAAGTCGCTTACTGGGTGCTTGAACCAGCGGTTGGTGTGGGTGTTCAGCACGTGTACATCCATGGAGGCGTAGCGCCGGCAGTCTTCTCCAGTTGAGTAACCTGTTAGAATAATTTGCTTAATGATCGCATAACATAAGTAGGAAACAGTTTATTTAAGTATGTAAGATCACTGCCTCTATTATGGGTCATGCACCTGTTATGAACCACCCAAATTTACTTTGGAAATTCCAAGGTTTCCCAACATTTGATTTTGGCAAGACAATCGGTATCACCAGTTCGTGACTTAAATGCGCAGATGAGGAAATTGGACCTGGGTAATACTGTGTCTTAAGACACGTATGTGTTGATACCGCTCTGTGTGTGTTTGTGCCGCGACACCTGGCCTCTTACGACGCGTCACTTTGAACAACACTTAACATTTGACCTCATTCAAGATGGCGGACTTAGGATTGCATTTGTGAAGGCCACGCGCAGTTTCCATATGGTTTCTGACCCTCTCGGCAGACATTATTTTCATTATAAAGCCGCACGAGCGAAAGTGCTCAAAATACTTGTCTACTGATTACTGATGAATTCTTATTTATCGGTCGATATGGCTCGCATAGGATGCTGGTCGCAGTTACCAGTACAATATCTGGGATTTCGATATTTCAACAAAGCAAAAGGGCAAATTCCTTCTTTTTGATTACTACCAGATTGCATAAAAAACTGAAAAAAACTAACTTAAATGGTTTTGAAACCAATGGGTCTTTCGGGTTTTTAGGCCGTCGTTGGGCAGAATTTCTTCTTGACGTTTCGCAAGCACGAGTGGCTTGCATATTCAGAAGTGGTGGTGCGAGCAAGGTTTATTGTTACGAGCATTTGCCCTCTGTGAGTAAATCCGTATTAACATTTTGTAATTGGTGTGTCACAATTAAGAATTAATTTTAAGAAGATTTCTTGTTAATGGCTACAAATCTAGCAACTTTTTCCCAATATTTTTCAAGTTGTAATCCAATCAAGCAGCTCAAACATGGGAAACAAATTTAAACGCAAATGTACAACTCATCCAACCTTTCAATGGTGAAAGTACCTTACGTATTTCATAAGTAACATAGAAGAATTTTACCGTAGGTACTTATTAGACAGGTGAAACTGCATAGACAATGGACAGAATGTCACAATGCTATTAAAAAAGTAGTTAGGTGTCATAGTGCTGATTTTAGGTCAAACTAAAAATGGCAAACTAAAAATTTGAAAATTTTTGCTTGCTTCAGAGTACCTACATAGAAAATTTTTTTAAATGTCAATTTCAAAATAACCTTGCATTTTCTTAGGTAGAAGATATACAGAAAAATGTTTTATGAAAAAGTTTATTTATAATAATTGTTCATCAACCTGCCATTTTCAATATATGTATAAGAAACTTTCATCTAAAAATTGCATCCTTCAGGGCGCGTTTGCATTTGAAAATGAATACTTAAATTGCAAAGTACGGCAGAGAAAAAGAGGAGAAAAATCCGAATTTGTATAAGACAGTTTAGTTGTAATATCGGCGGAACAAAACTCAACTTGACTTGACTTGACATTAAAAATGTATAGGTTGCAAACTCCGGTAGATAAGAGACTGAAACTAGGAATTTAGGAAACAACGTTCAAATTGGAGTTTCGGCGATTTTTGAAAATTCTTCAAAATTTCGTCTAAAATTGCAATTTTTGTGCTCGTCAGAATTAAAAACTGCAAAAGTTGCAAACCGCGGCACAGAAAAACAGAAATTAGAACGTAGTGTAAAAGTGGATTCAGTTGTAAAGTAAAAAAAACGCTCTGAATTCGGAATTTAAATTGACGTTCGAAAAGTTGATTAAAAAATGTTACAAATTACGGTAGAAAATAGTATGAATTCCGGACTGGATGTAACTGTTGTAACGTAGACGGAACAGCGCTCTAGTTTCTGTTAATTTTTCTGAAAATTGCATTATTAATTTAACGCCTTCATCTCTGAAACTCACTCAATTAGAGGAACATGGAGCTCTTAAAACTTTTTGGAAAAAATATTAATAAACAACCATAAAATGTTATTCGAGCTATTACCTATTAATATAAATCTTCCCAAAAATTTGCATCTAACAAAACTATCTGGATGCACTGACCAACAAATCATACACTTTTGAGATTCATTTCATCCTCTTCGATGAGATAAATATTTAATATTTGTTCAAATTGTTCGTGCTCGACTAAAACAGTCATAGGAAGTAGGATCAATGGATCTCAGAAACAATTTTTAAGTTATCCTTAAAGTAGCTCTGATTTATTTTATTAAATTTAGATGCGATAATTTAGGTCTCAGTGCCAGATAAACCTTAAGATTAATCTGGTTATTTTCACCGAGACACTACATTTAACGAATAACTCTGCTATTTTAGTTAACCAAAAAACAACAATCTGATTCTCCCTTGGACGCGAATTAGGACACAGTTGACTCGCACATTATTCCATTAGAATTGGTTTTCCGGATGTTTGCCAAGCTCAATTATCAGATTTACGACGCATTTCTCTGTTTTTTTTTTTCATTTTTTTAAACGGAACACCCTGTATACTTTAATCCACAAATATAGAATTCGTTTTTTTTTCAACTTGGTATATAACAAGCCATGGACGATATTCGTCTCCTAGCCAATTTATTTGAACTTTATTACTTTAAGTCTTGTAATGTATCTTAATATGCTATGACCTAACTGATGGATATTCCAGCTGGAAAGACAAAGAGTCGAAGAAACAACTGACATAAAAAAGTAAATTAAAAAACTATAGCAACTTTGAAACGAAACAAAAGATTGTAGGGGCGTTTGTTTATACTTAGAACAAGTAAACATCAACTACTAAGAAAACATATATTTACAGTCCCAAACGGTAGACAATGTATGTAATGGCAGTTCGTCAGGTGGTCGATCGAGAGAATACATCTGAGATCAATTTAGAAAAAGGAATTGAGTAACCAGTTCAACAAGAATTAGATTTAGATTATTATTATTATGAGAATCATTAAAACATGTCAGAATCAGCTACAAGCGCCAAACGTGTCTCAAACAAGGAGCGATTCACGCAGAGTGCATCACTTGGAGTCAACAGTTATCTACCTATAACTTAATTTACAGTAGTAACTTTACTCTATTAGAGTATTATCAATCTATCTCTGAACCCCGCAAACTACAACCGAAGTTGCATCCGCCACTGCTAAACTTGGGTTGTTAAGAGGTATTAAGAGTACGGCGCACGAAATACCTCCCCAAGAAAAGCCCTGCTAAACCTGAGTTGTTAATAGGTATTAAGGGTACTATCCGCGAAATACTTGCTCAGGAAAAGCCTTACAAGTCACCGGCATTTATCATGATAAACAGTATCTCAATTGGCCACTAGGTACTGCGGGTCATCCATAACCAGTACCCGCCTACCAGCGTTCCCTCTCACAATGGGTTCAGAGCCCAGGTACTGCGGGACATCCACAGTCAGTACCCGTCCCTAACATCATTACTCAAATGACTCAAAAAAAGTCCTACTCAAGTACTGTTGTACGTCTACAGCTAGTACTAGGTACTTCTCTATAAACTTTTATGCTTTTAAATGAAGCTTTAACAGTATTGAACTTTAACTAGACTTTTAAAGAAAACCAGTTTAATATTAAAGAAAGTGAATATTCAAATGAAGTCGAAACGGTTACTCTATGAAGAAACACTAACTCATTAAGATTATCTTGAATTTAAGTTCTCATTTAAGTTCATTATCTTAGTTAAATCAATAAGTATTGAAAAGGCTACTCTGTAACAAAACTCACTCTTTAACATTATCTTGAATGTTAAACCACTAGGAAATATTGAAAAGGCTACTCTGTGAGAAAACTCACCTGATGATTGATTTTCACACTAACACGAAATCACACTGATAGTTGCTGTGCTCGACACGAATTTGAACTAATAGTACTGCGTGTTTGTTGAACGTTTTTTTAGACTTTAAGGCTAAAAGACACAGTTAAGGCTTTTAGTCTTTAGTGCTGATCTACGAGGAAGCCTGGGTGAGGTAGGAAATTTTTACCTGAGATTAGTGAGTGAGAAACAAAAAAGAAGATCCACTGAAAAAGGAAAGGTAAGTTTTGGGTAGTTTGGAAGAAAATGGTTCTGTGGTTGGCCTTATTTGTCTATAATGTGTTTAAATTTTGTTTTTCATTAAGCCGGTTTTTTTTTTGCTTAAGGTGGGTGTTCCCAAGGGGGTCTGCCATCTGCCATCTGCCATTAGCTTTTGCTTTTTAGCTTTGCGCTTTTGAGCTTTTGCGATTAAGACGAGGGTGTAAGTAGGCGGCAGTTTGAATTCCTGTCTTTTTAATACTTTTGTTTAGTGTGTTGAGAGAAGTTTAGCTTAGTCTATTATTATGCCAAGATATTTGACTGCCTTTGTGTATTCGATTTGCGTGTTGTTCAGTGTTAGTTTTGGAGTGTTTGTATTGACTGTTTTTCTAGTTATTATCATGGCTTTAGTTTTTCAGAGTTAATTTTTATTTTCCAGGTGTCGGCCCAGGCTTGGAAAGTGTTTAAGTGTCGTTGTAAGGGTGGGATTATGTAGTTGATGTTTTTATTACTATAATAGAGGCTCGTGTCATCAGAGAAAAAAACAACTTTGGAATGGAGGCTTTTTGGAGCATCAGCTGTGTATAAGTTGTAAAGCGTTGGGGAAAGCGGGGCGCCCTGTGAGACTCCCGCTTTTATGGATCGGGTGGAGGATTTTGTTTCGTTCATAGTTATGAAAAACTTTCTCTCGTGGAGAAAGTTAGCCACAAACTGAACGAAGGTTAGGGGTAGGTTATGGATGTTAGGGATAGGTTGGAGTTTCCACACCAAGCCCTCGTGCCATTCTTTGTCGAAAGCTTTTTCTATGTGCAGAAAAATGATTCCAGTGGAGCCCTTTCCCTGGAGAGCAGTCGTGGCATCTTGAATTAGCCTGGCTGCTTGCAGTACGGCATCATGTTTTTGCATGAAACCGAACTGCTCCCGAGGGATCGTTTGAATATGTGAGCATTGATAATGACATTCTTACAAAAGAAATGTTGACCGATGAGCAAATTATAGACTCCGTAACCTCATCCACAACTTTAAGCTATAATGAAGAAGATGACGATTTGGGTAAAACTGATTCTACTGTACACTAATGCTGATCCAACCATTAGGAAATGGCAACAAAAAGTGTCAGAAACTAGGAATTTTCCACAATCACGCCAAGTTCCTAATCATTATGGGAGTCATTTTGTGATCTTGAAAACTACATAAAGAATCTATTTTTGCAGCAGAAATGTACAAACAAAAATTACAAACTTCATGAAGTAGATTTAAAATTGTGTTATGTTTCTGTTTTTGTGTTCTTTGCAGTTATACATACTAACTTGTACTACTGTATGTAAATGTAACGAATAAAATACACCACGTGTTTTCGCTTGTAGCGAACTCCGGATATTCCTCCTGGATATAAAGTTCGTTATATCAAGACCCAACTGTAGTTAGAAGTTTGTGTGTTATTTTCGAAATTTTCACTTTAGTGTTAAAAATCCCGTCAGTTTCATAGAGAGCGACTGGTTTCGTTTTCTGCTTCTGGTCAACTTGTTTGACTACTGCCTACCCATATTTTTGTTTTTTGTTGTTTTACCTTAAAGAACACTTTTTATTGAGGAGCCTCTTGATCAATAAGCCACAACATAGTAGTAGAACAACCGGGTTCAAAGCCAGCGAGGCAATGCCTATAGTTCAAAGGGGCCTTACCTCCAAAAGAGTATATCTTATGGTTGACAGCTACAGCCGCATGATTTACCCTCTTGGGGCAACCCTCAATATGTGCGATCCACCACATTCTGGCTGCACAGGCAAAAACACTAATCACATGTAGAGACACTGTGTCCATATAAGGTTGTTTTAGGGCTTATGTTGATCACGTCACTGGCCCTGGTTTGGAAAGATGTGTTCTCCCGTTTAAACTACGGTACTTTGTATCGGTTAAATACACGCACGTTTCCACTATGAAACGCTGATGGAATAAATCGTTGGACGCCAGACACTCGAAACCAGTCGAAACTAATAAAAATTTGCCCCACGAGATGCACGAGATATTACAACAGCTTGTTATTGTTAGGTGACGGCGCTGCATTGCCGGACTGACGCGCGGCAGTGCCAGATCTTAGCGGGTTGTCTGACGCATAATTTTTCCGCATGGACAGGGGCGTAACCAATTTGTTTGGGTGTTTAAACTTCAAATAATTTTTATGTTAAGCAGTTTCAATAAAAAAACTCGATAAATTTGTCCTGAAAAAATTGACACACTTTTCAAATTCGCTTCCATCTATTTATACACGATAGTGAGAGTGGCCGGCGCCATTTGCTGTTAAATCCTGTTTTAGCTATGGTCTGACCCAAGCTATTTGACAGTGACGTCATTATTTTCGACCTCATATGTAAATGGTATTTCCCGGTGATTTCGAAAGAATTATGTTTGTTTAATCAGATATTATTGTTTTACCCCGGATTTATAGAAGAATTATCTTTATGTTCTGTTATATGTTGCATTATAAAATGTATCTAATTTCTAAAATTTTTCAACAATTAAATCGAGATTTTGACTACTTTTAAAATTTTCCTACAGTTTAATCAAGATTTTCAATTACTTCTGAAATTTTTCAATAGCTAAATCGATATTTTCAACTACTTCTAAAATTTTTCAATAGCTAATTCATGATTTTCAACTACTTCTAAAATTTTTCAATAGCTAATTCGAGATTTTTAACTATAGTCTGTACGCTATAGCTTTGGTCGCACGTCATCAGTGACGAAATTTGATTACAAATATGAAAACAATTATGCCTGAAATTTTGTGTGATAAGTGAAATCTTTTTTGTTTTGTGTTTTGGGCATTAGAGAACCTCAAGCAATCATAAAATACCAAACAACTTTAGAATATTACCTACTTTAAAGCGATGTTGATTATTTATGTTCATCTTTAAAATTATTAGGTTGGTGAAAATGACAATGCTGCCGAATCGATCGTAGATTTATCGGATATTTTTTAATAACACTTTATTTTCTTACTTTTAATTACCTTTGCGTTGACGGTATATTTGTGCTTTTCAATTAAATCATTATTCCATAAAGAATAATCAGCCAAATCGAGACAGCATTGAGATAATTTAAGAATGCTTCGAGTAGTTATGTTTATATACATAATTTATGACGGGTATGGCAACAACGCTCGACCGACGATTGATAATGTGCAACCAAAGTTACAGCGTACAGACTGTACGTGGTAAACTACTTATACATTTGTTTTTAGGATTGGTCGCTTTAAGACTAGCAAATTAATGTTACCTTCCAAAATACCAATTCACTTTTTGTGCTTCAATTTTACAGAATGTGGCGTTAACTCATCACGTTAAACTGTGTAATTTTTGTGAGGGTAAACTTTCAAAGAAAATAGAAGAAAAAAATGGTGTGCGTCACGGGACGCTCGACAGAAGTGATAACTTAACTAAATTAATAGAAACCATAAAATATTGAACTTGTTTAACGCATGATGGCAATAATTATTTTATTTTATAATTTTGATATTCTTGTTTGTTTAATAATTTATAAATGGATCAGGAATAGGTAAAATGTAATTTAATTTCCTTTTGAATGTAAAATATCGTTTTTATTTGCAACATTTAACATTCTTTAATGAGATGTTGTGCTCTTCTTGGGTTTGTGTAAACTGTTCTTCTTGAGTTTCTGGATTTTTTAGTCGTAATTTCTTATTTGCTTTGTATAATTTTTGACGTTGACAAAGCTACTTTGGGTTGATCTATTACTTAATGCTCCTTTTTTAGCACGAAATCGTTTTTGGCGTTCAGCATTACTTAATACTTGACGCATTGTAGCATGTTTTTGTGAATACTCTTGTGTGTGTTGTTCAGGAACGTCTGCTACAACTTGTATCTGGATAGGACTAAAAATCAATTAATTTTGGTGATTGGGAGACGTTGCATCTGTTTAAAATAGACGGTAAAACGAGGAAGAGCTATAGAACCAGGATACACTTGACACACTCTATGTATAGGTAATGTAAGCCATCGCGCGTATTTTCCAAAAAAATTCTAGCTGAACTAATCTAAGGCTAAAAAAAATTAACTAAATTGAGAAGATTTAATCATAAAGGAGTCAAAGAGTATATGAACCGAACGAATCCATTTTGAAGCGTGGTAAACACAATTAGTCATAGAAATAATATAAAGAATTCAAAATAAGCCCTAATAAATTCGTTTTACATATTTTGCCACTATAAGCAGAAGAGAGATTCGTATCGTCTTAACATCAAGAATGCGTTGCGTGATAGAACATAAGAAGACGGAACCAATGTTTTCTGAAATAACCGAGGCAAACTCAAATATTTATCATTCAAAACATATTTATTATACAGGGTTGCTCATTAGTGCGTCAAAGTGCAATATCTCAGTAAATATGAAGTTTACAAGAAAATTCGCCCAACGAAAGTTTTTCACGTTTAAAAGGTCCACATTCTAAAATTACTTTCCAATATACAGGGTGCATCATAAACGTGTGGTAGTTACCAACTCTGGTTTTTTAAATGAAACCCCCCCTTTTTTTGTTATTTTCAGATTGGCCGTTCAATTTTAATTTATGTTTGTTTCAACCGTTTTACCTGAACAATTTACGATTTCCGAGTTATTCGTAAAAATGTGAAAGTTTTGACAGCTACTGGGTTCCACAGAAATCGATGCTGTACACTACCCGCTGCGAATTTTGGAAAACAGTTTTCAGCGATTCTAACAGAACATTATGATCTACGTGTAGATATGTTTTAAATTACAAGGAAATACTTCTAAACCGCGCAATTAGCCTCTAAACTTGCATGTTTTTAAACCTCAAAAAGTTGCTTATTTCAAATGGAACCC